CACATTGTAACACATTGTAACACATTGTAACATTCAAATCTGCGTTCACGCTGCGGCTGAGCCCAAGAGAGCTGTTAATGTAGGCCTAAAGGGATGAAACCGCTTCACAAGCAGTCGTATCGTGATCCGTCACAAACATGCAGATAATCACAGAAGCACTGGGATAAAAGTTTGTGTATTTCAGATATAAACTCTTGTCTACTGTAGCTATCATAATGATAGATGAAATCACTTTTTTGCAAGTGACTTGAAGCTTCAAATAAAGACCGCATCAATTACAACGTAATGCCAGCAGGTGGCGACAAGTGACTCAAAAAAGAGTTTAGTTTAGTGTGCTAATTTCAACTTCTGCTAATATATTAATGTGTTAACATTAGTTAATGAACTATGAACTAAATTTAATGATCACTATAGAATTAATATTCAATGGTAATATTTGTTATTCATTTATAGTGTGGTACAGGTTTTGTTTTAGTAATAAAGCACTGTGTGTGTGTGTTTCAGGCGTGTGTGTCGTCTCGAAGCGTCCCGAGCAGAAGATCAGCGAGCCGCAGAGGAGGACCTCAGAGAGTCTGGAGATGACCTCATTTTACTCACTTATTCATGTGCTTTATTATATTTGAAATAAACTCTCAGATGTCTTTAAGGAGCGTCTTAAGTGTTTTTCTTTGACGTTTGAGTGTGTTTTACACAGCACATGCACTGCTGGAACAGTCTGTGGGTTTCTCCTCAGTGAGCGACTGATCTAGACGAGTGTGTCTGATGCTGCTGAGGTCCTGAACTGACGTCAGTCGCTGGATCTGATCAGGTGACACTCATGCATTCATGCTGACTGATTGATTGATTCATCAAACACAGATGCTGCATAATGAAAGGCGTGATTCTCCAGATGGACGGTTATATCAGTAAAGCATTCATCTGGAACTCATATTACTTTCTAGTCAAGTCACATTTATTAAAATACAGCTTTTATTCAATACATATTATTTCAAAGCAGCTTCACAGAGATAAACAGGGAAATAACTGTGAAAGTCGCTTTGGAGAAAAGCATCTGCTAAACGACTAAATGTCAATGTTGCAAAAAGATATATTTTATATATTAAAATATACGTTATATTAGAGGCAAAATAATATAAAACAAATTTATTCAATTCTTAAGAAAAAATTTATTTTTTACGTTTTTGAAGATTTGTTTAACAATGGAAATATATGTGAAATAAAAAAAGTGACTTCCTTAGTTATAAATGTACACATATATATTAACAATGTTCACTTTATATATCTCTATATGTACATATGACCTCAAAACCCGTCATGAGGGTACATTTTTTAGAAATGGAGATTTGTACATTATCAGAAAGCTGAATAAAT